AGCCTCCCGGAACAGCCAGGGTCACTCGTGCTCTGAGCTGGTTACCCTGAGGATCCCTATTCACGGTCAACTCCTTCTTCCTCCCTGAAAGCTGACAGCGACCCCTTACTGTCGCTTCTCCTTCACAGTAGTCCGTGGTAGGACGATGACACACTAAAGCACAGCTCTAGGGTAATTAAAAAGCCCAGGAAATGTCAACTTGTATCACATACTGGCCTAGCGCTCTACTTTAACTCACAAATGCCCCAGGACGGCCTGTGCTGCTCACAGAAGGGCATCCGCTCAGGATTTAAAAAGCTAAAGACATTCAGAGCCAAACACTTCCAGGGACCCTAACGCCGCCCGAAAAACCGGCACGCAGGCTCCCGCAGAACCAGGGCTCTCCTGAGACTTCCCGGACGTCTCCTCGCACGGGGTTACAGAACGAGGACCCAGGGCGGCGCAGGAGCGGGGGTCGGGGACCCTCGCTGTGCCGGGAATCCTCCCAGCGAGGGCCCTGGGTGAAGGCCTCACGGTGACCCCACGTGGCCGACGACCGCCTGTAAACCGAGCCCTGGCGGCTGAAGGCCCAGACGAGCTGGAATTCAAAAACCATAACTTGAGCCGCGCTGTTTGCGACCGCGGGCTGCAGTTTCCGTGAGACAATGTCCCATTCTGCGTTTGCAAATTATGTCAGAGGCAGCGGTCCCGGGGCGCGGGCGCGGCAGAAAGGGAACGATTCAGTGCCCGCGCGTGCCCTCGGCTGGATGCAGGCATTTGCCAAACACTGCGCTCTCTGTCCAGAAACATTAGTCCACATTCCAGTCATTTTGATAACCTTCTCCTTTGTCTCCCCAGCACCACGCGAGCCCCCGTGGCATCCTCAGAACTCGGAGACGGCCGGCCCCCAGCACAGGCAGACGCCCACCCCCAGGTCGTCACCAGCCCGCCTCTCAAGAGGTGCTTAGGGGCACACGGGAGATTTCACAACACGGCAAACGCGGCGGCAGGGGAAAAAAACGGAAGGCAAATTCCTCAAAGCCGAACACCAGTGATTCTCCATCCGCGGCCCTGCGGGTGGCCAGGGGACAGGTGAGTCACAGAGCAAACGGATGGATGAGAACCCTTCTCAGCTTCGGGGCTGAACAAAGCCAGAGACAGACGGGAGAGGCAACAGACCACGAAGACACGATCCCGCTAGAATTTCCCAACGACTGGACTGTCCCAGGTTCCCGGCTGTCCCGAGCGCTCGGTGTAACCAAGCCGGCTGGGAGGACCTGACCTCCACCACCTTCAGCACAGGCTGCGCTCAGCTGCAGCCTGCACGGATGACCAGTGCCACAGCACCCACCGGCCCCTCACCCACGCAGCTGACCTCCACGCCACGAGGTCCCGCATCCCTCTGATGCTGCAGCAGGCTGTGCCACTGCCTGTGATTCCAGCATCGCATGAGCACAGGTGCACAGGTTCAAGTCCCGGCTGCTTCACTTCCCATCCAGCTCCCTGCTGATGCCTCTGGGAAGGCAGCAGAAGATGGCCCAAGTGCTTGGGCCCCTGCACCCGCGTGGGAGACCCGGGTGAAACTCCTGGCTTCAGCCTGGCCTCGCTCTGGCTGTTGTGGCCATCTGGGGGGTGAACCAGCAGATGGAAGACCTCTTTCCTTTTTTTTTTTTTTTTTTTTTAAAGATTTATTTATTTTATTTGAAAGTCAGAGTTACACAGAGAGAGAAGGAGAGGCAGAGAGAAAGAGAGAAATCCTCCATCCGATGGTTCACTCCCCAACCAGCTGCAACGGCTGGAGCTGTGCCGATCCAAAGCCAGGAGCCAGGAGCTCACTCCTGGCCTCCCACATGGGTGCAGGGGCCAAAGGGCCTGGGCCATCTTCCACTGCTTTCCTAGGCCACAGCAGAGAGCTGGATGGGAAGAGGAGCAGCTGGGACTAGAAGCGGCGCCCATATGGGATGCTGGCGCTTCAGGCAAGGGCATTAACCCACTGTGCCACTGTTCCGGCCCCAGACCTCTCCCCCCCCAACTCTGTTTCTCTAACTCTGCCTTTCAAATAAATAAATAGATCTTTTTTTAAGAATTATTTTATTTATTTGAAAGTCAGAGTTACACACAGAGAGAAGGAGAGAGAGAGAGAGAGAGAGAGAGAGAGAGAGAGATCGGTCGGTCTTCCATTCTGCTGGTTCACTCCCCAAATGACTGTAATGGCCAGAGCTGAGCTGATCCGAAGACAGGAGCCAGGAGCTTCCTCTGGGTCTCCAACGTGGGTACAGGGGCCCAAGGACCTGGGCCATCCTCCACTGCTTTCCCAGGCCACAGCAGAGAGTTGGACAGGAAGAGGAGCAGCCAGGACTCAAATTGGCGCCCAGGTGGGATACTGGTGCTGCAGGCGAGGGCTTTAACCTGCTACGCCACCTCGCCGGCTCTCAATCTTTTTTTTTTTTAAGAAAAAAGTTTGACTTCTTTGAACATATTTGCAAAATAAAAGAAATCACACAACATGAAATTAACACTAGGCAACGCTAAGAGTGAAAACACTGCCTCGACTCAGCCTGGTGCTGGCACACGGCTCCCCGGGCAATACAGTTAGGAGCGGGGGGAACAGCCAAACTGCTGTGCGTGGGGAATCGCAGTGTCAGGTCACACTGAAAGCAAAGGAACTCGGGAGCTCCCACATCCAGACGCCGCTCCACCAGCTTCCCTGGCTGTGATGCCACCCGCGACGCCGTGGAGGGAGCAAACAGGACGCTCAGGGAAGAAACAATGAGGAAAAAAAGACAACAAAGCCCAGCACCGCATTTTTGGAAGTACTCAAGCGGCTAGCAGCAAGTGGGCTGAGCGGAACACGGACGTCCGGCGGCCGCACTGCAGGTCCCTGCTCGGGATCGGACCTCGGGGGCGGGGGAAAGTCCTCTTGGAGATCACTGGGCCACGGGAGCCTGAACTCACAGAATCACGCAGACCCAAGGCTCACGGTGCGAACCCAGACTCATGGATCTCCCAGCTTGGGTGCGATCCCAGTAACGCCTGCCCCCCGGACAGCCCACAAGCCGTACTTGGCTCCGAACGTCAGCTACCACAGAACATTCTGGAAGCAATCCTGGGTCCACGCTCTCATGACAGTGAGCCCCGGCTCCATCGTGGAGAGCATAACTAAGAGTAGGGAAATCCACAAAACTGCAGGCTTCCGGCACGACTACGAGGTCTGGGGAGGGCAGGTTGGTGGGGCCGGCAGAATGAACCCAAACCCGGGCAAGGTGCCGCCACTGCCTTAAGACAAGGGATTGATGCAGAACGCCACACCCCGCTGTTCACTCGGATGGACGCAGCCTCTCTCGGAAGCGAATGCTCCCAGGGACCCTACGTCTCCCAGGAGGGAGCCCAAGGACTCTGGGACTCAGCGCAATGCAAGGGGAGAGAGGAGCAAACAGAGCGACACCCACAGAAGATGCCAGCAAGGACTGATAGAGAAATGCCTCTGTGTGCAGCCGTAACTACGCGCAGCCACGCGGTTACACAGTAGTAAACAGCAACGGGAACGGAACTGATACAGCAAATAGATGACAAACAACCAACCTTGCGGGTAAACAGCCAGGACGCCACAAAAGTGTGGCGAGAATTACCGTGGAGCGTGTTACGGGCGACTCACTGCTGATCAGTTTGAGAATTCCTGACACAGTGGATTCAGAATCACAAAAACGCAACCCACCAGGATCGACCGAGGAGCAGACAGAAAAAACTGGATCGCTGTGGCACAGCAGGTTAAAGCCCTGGTCTGCAGCACCCGCATCCCATGTGGGTGCCTATTCGAGTCCCGGCTGCTCCACTTCTGATCCAGCTCTCTGCTGTGGCCTGGGAAAGCAGTAGAAGATGGCCCAGGTCCTTGGGCCCCTGCGCCCGCGTGGGAGACCTGGAAGAAGCTCCTGGCTCCTGGCTTCGGCCCTGGCTATTGCAGAAATTTGGGGAGTGAACCAGCGGGTGGAAGGCCTGCCCCAACTTACTCTTTTTTGTAAAGATTTATTTATTTATTTGAAAGGCAGAGTCACGGACACACACGCAGAGGTCAACCCTCCGTCCGCTGGTTCACTCCCTCAAAGCCCACAACAGCCAAGGCCGGGCCAGGCCAAAGCCAAGGAGCTTCTTGCAGGTCTCCCACGGGTGGCAGGGCCCAAGCACCTGTGCCATCTTTTGCGCTTCCCCAGGCCATCGGCAGGGAGCCGATCGCAAGTGGAGCAGCCGGGACCTGAACTGGCGCTGCGTTGTGGGCTGCCGGTGTTCCCAGGGGCACAACGCTGGCCCCAGAACACGTATGCTCACATATTAAGTAATTCCAGAGAACACACTGAGTCTTGAGGAGGGGGCTGAGCAGAACTGAGTGCCTGCTACTTCCCTCCCAAAATCATCTCCAGTGAACATGGCCAGGAGAGCAGCAGGGCGAGGCCGTGCAAGGGCCGACAGCCGTGGGCGGCGGTGACTTCCACCGAAAGGGCACGCACCGGGCCCTGGGAGGAGCCGGCACCAGCCTCACCACAGCTCTAGCCGCTCCGGAGAAACAGCGCCAGTCCAAGCCCATGGCACAGCAGCGTCTGCGGGGGCTCTGACATGTGAGCCGCGGGCGGCCTCCAGCCACTGCTGCCCCGAGCCGCGGGCGGCCTCCAGCCACTGCTGCCCCGAGCCGCGGGCGGCCTCCAGCCACTGCTGCCTGTGAGATAGGATGAGGACCCTCCGTCGGGTTCCAGCGGCATTCCGAGTGGCCAGGCGCATCCAGGGGCGCTCGGCCGCCCGCCCTGACGCTCCAGAAACGCACTTTGCTTTGAAGAGCCGTGAAGAGAGCGGCACAGCTCGTGAGACCACCCCCACCCCCGGCAATGCACTCCCCGCATCCTAGCGCCAAAGCGCCCGCGGAGGTCCGAGTGTGTGCGTCCCCGGGGCCGGGGCCCGGTGCGCGCGCGCGCACACACACACACACACACACACACACACGGAGGCCGGAGGCGCTCTCGGCCGCACCTCACCTTCTCCACGTCGGCCTTGGTGACGTTGATGTCGGCGTCCATCTTCTCGAAGTACTGCTGGGCTCGGTCGGCCTCTTTGCAGTCACGCTCAAACCGCCTCTTGCTCTGCAAGGCAGGGGAGGGGGCGTTGCCGACGGAGGCCCGAGGCGCCCACGCCAAGCAAGGGGTCTGGCTGCACCCCAAGCCCACCCTCCACGAGCCCGTCGGCCAGGTGGCCTCTCAGGAGTGACGTTAAAGCCTGCGCTCGCGGCCACCAGAGCGGCCACACTCGAGCCGGCACGGCGGTTCCAGGGACAAATTACGCCCAACTGGGAGAGAACCGTCACGGCGGCGGCGTGTCCCGTCCGCCCGCGATCGGATCAAGCGTAAACTGAGTGCCAACGGGAAGGCCCACGCACACGTTCGCGGGCTGCTGTCCACTTACTGCCTCGAGCTGCTTCCAGCAGGTCTCTATGTGCTGCTGTGCCTTCCGCCCGTCATGGAAGTTCTAGAAAGGGGACAAGACATCCGCGGTCAGCAGCCGCCTTCTCTCGCACGGACACGGGAGAAACAGTCCACACAGTGACATTTAAATATCGAATGCTGGGGGCCGGCGCCGTGGCATAGCGGGTAAAGCGGCTTCCTGCAGTGCCCGCATCCCATATGGGCACTGGTTCATATCCTGGCTGCTCCACTTCCAATCCCGCTCTCTGCTATGGCCTGGGAAAGCAGTAGAGGATGGCCCAAGTCCTTAGGTCCCTGCACCCTCATGGGAGGTGCAGAAGAAGTTCTCTGGCTCCTGGCTTCGGGCCAGGCAAGCTACAGCCATCGTGGCCATTTGGGGAATGAGTGAGCCGGCAGGTAGAAGGTTTCTCTCTGTCTCTTTCTCTCTGTAACTCTGGCTTTCAAATACATAAGCAAGTAAATAAATAAGTAAATATCGAGCACTGAGTGTGTGTGCTCCAAAGAGATTTAAGAGTTACAGATCACAAGAGGAACTGGAAGCGAGCAGGGTCGCAGGGTCCCCCACAAAACTTCAGGTCCCGATGACTGGATCTGCAGGCGCTGTTTCCACAGGCGCACAGCAGCGCCGTGGGGCGGGGACCGCCATCACTTCCGCCGCCTCTGGGACCCACGCTCCAGCACCACGCTCATCCGAACCCCACCATTCGGCTGTCTTTACTCCATCAGAGAAACTGCAACATCCCACCGCTAATTTCAGAACATTTTTCTCACCCCAAAGAGAAGCCCCGAGTCTCTCAGCTGTCGCCCTCCCGCTGTCACCGCGGCTCTGCCTGCGGGGGTGTCCCGTGCGGACCCGGTCACACAGGAGCAGGAGGACGTCTGTGGCTTTACCGAGTACATCATCCCCATGCGCACCGGTCTCACCCGGGCCAGGCATTAATTCCTTTTTGTCACCAAACGATGCTGCAGTGTGTAGCTACACCACGTCTCCCACACTGTGCCTGTCCTTCCTCACTTGGCAGACACGGGGCAGGGGTGAGGCCGGGTGCTACAACCGACGCTGCTAGATTTGAGTACGAGCTGTGTGTGGTCGGTTGCTTTAAACACTGCTTTAGGGGCTGGCGCTGTGGCACAGTGGGTTAATCCGCTGTCTGCAGCACTGGCGTCCCATATGGGCACTGGCTCGAGTCCCGGCTGCTCCACTTCCGATCCAGCTCCCTGCTAATGCACCTGGGAAAGCAACGGAAGATGGCCCAAGTGCTTGGGCCCCTGCACCCACGTGGGAGACCTGGAAGAAGCGCCTGGTTGCAGCCAGCAGATAGAAGACCTCTGTCTGTCTCTTCCCCCCTCAACTCTGCATTTCAAAATTAACGTAGGGTCTGGCAGGCTTCCTTATGTGAACAAGCAAGAGCCAGTGGAGGGCTCTGAGCTCAGATGCTGGGGGGGGGGGGTCCCACAGAGGGGGCCGCTGCGGCAGAGCTGGGGAGACGGTGCAGGTGTGATGGGATCGGATTCCAGGCATTTCTAAAAACACACACACCCCTTCTAACTGTTGGTTTATTCCTCAAATGCTCACAAGAGCCAGGGCTGGGCCAGGCAGAGGCCGGGAGCCAGGACCTCCATGGGGGTCCCCCCCAGGAGCAGGGACCCAAGCATGGGAGACATCACCCACTGCACTCAGGCGAGGAGGCAGGACTTGAACCCGGGCCTCCACTGAGACGCGGGCATTCCAAATTTATTTATTAACTGAAAAACAGGGAGAGAAACATTGATCTTCTAGCCACTGGCTCACTCCCCAGACAGCCGGAGCTGGACCAGGCAGAAGCCAGGAGCCAGGAGCGTCCTCTGAGTCCCTCCCATGTGGGTGCAGGGGCCCAAGCGCTTGAGCCATCTTCCTCTGCCTCCCCAGGCGCATCAGCAAGGAGCTGGATAAGAAGTGGAGCAGGCGGGACTTGAACTAGTGCTCGGATGTGGGACGCCGAACCGGCAGATGGCAGCTTAGCTCAATGTGCCGCAACGCCAGCCCCCAGGTGGCATCTCAGCCACCGTGCCAGAGGCCGGCCCGGAGTATCTTTTGATCCATCAAAGATTCTCAGGGCGGGCGGGTGGGGGTAACGGGGCACCGGGTGAGCCCGAGGTTGCTGGTCTGGGCGGGGAGCTCAGACGTGTGGCTGCGGGTGTGAAGGTGCTGAGACCTGTTCGAGGCTCCAAGCAGAGAGCCCGACGTTCACTGGGACCTGCGCCTGTGCTCAGCGGGGCCAGCCCAGGAGATGAACAGGCACGAGGGGTGCTGACAGTCGGAGACCCGGAGACCGAACAGCGTCAGCAAGGAAAACAGACTGCAGAGGGAGAGACGCTAGGCACACACGGCTCTGTCAAGGAAACTGTGTCTTTTTTGTTAAATTTTCTTTTTCCTTTTTTGTTAAAGCTTTATTTTATTTGCTTGAAATGCAGAGTTAGCGAGAAGAGGGAGGGAGGGAGGGAGGAGAGGAGAGGAGACAGGAGACAGGAGAGGAGAGAGAGGCCTTCCACCTGCTCGTTCACTCCCCAAATGGCCACAACAGCCGGGGCTGGGCCAGGCAGGACAAAGCCAGGAGCCAGGAGCTTCTTCTAGGCCTCCCATTTGGGTGCAGGGGCCCAAGGACCTTGATCATCCTCTGCTGCTTTCCCAGGTCCATTAGCAGGGAGCTGGATGGGAAGTGGAGCAGCTGGGACTTCAGCTGGTGCCCATATGGGATGCCAGAGCTGCAGGTGGCGGCTTAACCTGCTGCACCACAGCGCTGGCCACACAATTTTTTTTTTTTAATTCAGTGAACTAAAATCACCCGTTCCTGCCATCCCCAATATCTCCTTCCTGGCTCCCCCAACTCAGCCGATAGACTGGTGGTGTCCTGGGTCCGTCTCCAGCCCATCAGCGTCCCTGGAGGCCAACTGGCCTGGGCCCACTGCTTTGGCTAGAGTGCCACGCCCAGGCCTGGCCCTGCCCAGGACAGGGATCTGCACCTGCAGCCTCTCCGGGCTGGCCGGGTCCCCGATCTTGGCTCTGGCCGGGCAGCCCTCCCAACTCTGCCAGTCTACGGCGCATGCGACCTGTGCGCCCGGAGGCTGGGAGCACCAGCACTTCCCCACAGTGACCGGTGATTGGCCTGGACCCTGCCCGCTCCTTGAATAAACCTCCTTCCTCCAATTATGGCTGTGAATGTGCCGCCTGTTTGCTGCCTGACTAGGTAGGCACTGGTGCCGGGCTGCACTGCCGAGGGGACAGGACGGCCAAGGCCACAGGTCTGTCCCTAAGTGCAGGCTCAGCGCTCTGCCCCCACACAGAAGATAACCGGGTCCCGTGTTTAAAGAACAGGGCTCCTTTATAAGGCAGTGCCGGCGCGGGTCCCCTGTGGGGTCAAGTTTCACTGTTTCTCTGCTGCACACGGGACTCTCAGGAAAAGAATTCAGGCAAGGAGGAAGGAAGGCTGTCCCCCAGGGAAAAGGGACGGGGAGGCGGAGACAAAGGCCCAGGCGGCTTGCCTGCACCCGCGCGTGGGGCTCTCCCCGCTTCCCCGGGGACGCCCCCCCCCCCCGGCCGGGCCCCGGAGCCTGGCTGAGATCTGAAATGCTGCAGCCCAGGGCGGTGAGCAGGGAGAGGAGCCCCGGACGGACGGATTGGAGAGGCCGCCCGGGTCAGCCTGTCCCGCCGAGTGCTATAAAAGGAAGCATCTCCGAAGACAGCAGGCTTCCAGAGAAGGCCAATTTTGGAAGCACTGGGATGACTGATTGAAGGCCCGCGCGGCGCATTCTCGGGCCACTCCTCCATCAGCTTGCACAGTGTGTGCCTTCCACTTCGCTGGCGAGTCCTCTCCCAGGAAGACGCCTCGGCCGCACCTCCCCCTCCGCTGCTACAGTCACCTGGAAACTTCAGCTAGGATCCTGTCATTTCACGTGGCTTAAGAGATAGGTGGGGGCCGGCGCTGTAGCATCCCATACGGACGCCAGTTAGAATCCCGGCTGCTCCACTTAAGATCCAGCCCCTTGCTAGCGCCCTGGGAAAGCGGCGGCGGACGGCTCGAGCCCAGGTCCCTGGGCCCCTGCACCACGTGGGAGACCTGGGTGGGGCTCCAGGCTCCTGTCGTAGCCATTTGGGGATGGAAGATCTCCAGTGTCTCCCTCTCTGTAACTCTGCCTTTAAATCAATCAATCCTTTTAAAAAACAGACACAGATCAAGGTGATGATGGCCACTTTCCATCCAGTCTTTCCTCCCCAGCACAGGTGCCCCCAGCACTTATTTGTCTTACTTGTTACTTATTTGTTACTTAAGGGTGTAACAGGAGCCTTAAGGCCCAGTGCGCCCTGGGGGCCCTCATTCTCCCCGTCTGTCTCTTTCTCTCTCTCTGTCTCTCTCGACCTCCTTTAAGGTACAAGTTCAACAAAGGGGCTCCCCAGATATATCTGTTGTTTGGTACAAACAATAGGAGAGCGGTTCTCCTCCGCACAGGGAGCCAGTGTGCGCCTGCAGCCGGTGCACAAAGACGGATTGTTCTCTGCACAAAGATAACCAGGCTTGTTCGGGGCCCCGCATGAAGTCATCCAGCTCTTCCCCTGACCAGAGAGGAGACAGGAAATGCCATCCCAAAGGGCCCACAGAGCCGCTCCTTATCTCCTCCGGGGAGAGGAGGCTTGGGTTTCTCTTTGCTTCTTTGAAAACCCCGTGAGGGACGCCAAGGCCACACGCACCTACTTCATTCCAACTTCTCAGCGGCACGTTAGTCTACACAGATGAAAACCAACCTTCAAGAAAAACTCTCAAGAAATTTCCTGCCGAGACAGAAAGCAAAGCCGAATCCCAGAGGACCAAAGTCGGCAGGCACGAGGGAAGAGTGGAAACGGAAAAGCTTCCCAGGGTGGGAAGCAGCACCGTGCGCAGCCATGCCGACGGCCGGGGAGGGCTCAGCGCCCTGCTCCGCCACCCGGCCGCCTGTCCCTTTAAGGCTGAAAACCGATGTGAGGACAGAAAAGGCGGGAAGAGTAGAGAGGGAACTCAACCGAGGGCA